AGGAAGACGTTGGCTCTGTTATTTAAATAAATCGTTGCATACTTTGTGGCCCGCCTTATGTGTGGGTGATGATGGTGGTGGCGGTGTGGTGGGCCAGGGTGGGGTGAGGGTAGCTGTGTGCAGTTTGGGAAGTGGGGTGGCAGTGGAGTGGATACAGAGTGAAACTTTAAATCTCATTTGAATTATTATGGCGGAAAAAACCGCTCGACAGTTGCGATGTTCGCTCTTTGTCTGCATTCTGTTGCATACTTTATGGCGTTTTAAGTGCTGCGACGATTTTGCAAATGCTGCAGAATGTATAGTTGTTGCCACCAGCCTGTCGCTCGTTGCCTGACAAGCGAAATGCGCCCCGTTAAATGCAACTATGCAACACTCCGCATTACTTTCCGCTCCTGACCCAATTACGCTGGCGAGTAATTAAACAGCGGCTGACAACAGGCCAAAGGCCGCTCATTCTGAATATGAGAGGCATCGGGCTTTCGTTTCACCAGTCGAGCGGTAATGTTTTACCATGCACTGCATGTCGGAATTTCGAGGGGCTCCATTGAAATTGAACGCCCCAGGGATCCCGTTGCTGCAGATGGTTAATCAAAATGATATGCTGTGAAATTATTAAAAATGTTCAAGTGGCCGGAGAAAGTGACTCCATCTCGATTTCCATTCCCTCCGTAAATTATAAAAATACGGGTTGACTTCCATTGATTTCCACACGCCATTAGCTGCTCGTGCTATTTCGCGCTATTTCGGAGCGAACCTCAAAGCGGTTTGGGGCAACTAACCGACAACTTTAAGCTGCCAGCCACCGCGGCTACCACTATCTCCACACCCCTCCTCAGCGGGTTGCAAGTCAGGATGCCACTTGATCATTAACAGTGAACCGCGAAAAGAGGAGTGCGGATAGCGGAAAGCGGGCGGCAACACGGGAGCTGCACCATTTAACAGCTCCGAGCAATTGCAAACGTAAATCAAATGCCACATTTTGCAGTGGCAGCACCGCGGCTCCTCCCCACCTTCCATTGCTTATTTTATTTGTAATTTTTAACAACTTGAAACTTGTGTGGGTGGGTCGACCAGCTAGCAAGGCGGACTACACTTCAACAAAACTGGTATACGTTTGTGAAAGAAATGAAGAATTCTTGAATTCCCGAATCAGTATCTCCGTTCAAGGTCTTTCTGTGAGTAAGTATCAACGCGATGAACATTAACTCGTATCTGTTTCTCTTTTTAATGATATAATCATCCTGAAATGACATCTCCATCCTCTAATACCTGGTTTTACTGTGTAAAGGAGGATACGTGGCAATGGATTCTACTCCTCGTGACGCCCACATCACTGGTGGAGGAAGAAAGAGGACTCCATTGGCATGCCAGTGCAGTACAGATTGGCCAAGAGGAGGAAGGCTGAAGGAGTTGGCTGCCAACTGTTGGATGGTGCTGCTGCACAAGCTCACACAATTTTGATTTATTATTTTGATTCCTGTTACTTTACTACCTGCCAGGATGCAGCCAGGAACTGGCACTACGCCTCCTCCCAGCCACATCATTGTATCCAGAGCACGGCAGTCGTCGAAGCTGTTCTTTATTTTTATTCACACGGTTTCTGGTTTTATTGCTCCAATTACTTCATGTACTACTCGCTTTTCTACCCCCCTCCCCCGCCGCCACTGACAACGGGTGGCACTCGAGAGGATTTAATATTTTCCTCCCCGGCTCTCTTTTTACTGTTTTTATGTTTCGCGTTGGCAGAGCTTTCGAAGATTTCTGCTGGGCAACAGAGTGCAAATCAGAACCGATAAGAAATTTGTGTTAAGGTTTCCATTTTCATTGAGGAATATATCGGACCAGTGCTTGTCAGTTCAGTGGGTACCAGGAATTAAGGTTTGCAAACGGGACTAAGTTCAATTGAGATTCGCATTTCGTTAGGGGATTACTCGTACCTCGAATCCCCTTTTATTCCTGAAACCATTCCCAACTAAAACTGCAGCTCGATGGGAGCCAGCCAGCAACAACTTGATACCAATTAAGCACTCACAATCATATGCTGAAAGGTTGGAGCTCTCCATTCTGCCACTTCCCCTAGGAAAGCTATTTTGTGCCGGCTTTTCCGCGACCCTCTCGACACCTGTTTCTGCTTTGCTCTTCCCGCCGAGATGTAGTATGCAAAACGCTTAACTGCACATAAAATATACAAAACTAACTTAGTTCGCGCATATCGCAGGGCATAACTCATTGCCACCCGGCACCCACACCCTGCAACCTGCACCATGCACCCTTCACCATGCAGCCTGCACCACTCTGTGCAACGTGTGCCACTTGCCATTTGTAACTGGCTGCACAAAAACAAAACTAGTGACAATAAAAGAGCGAAGAGCGAAGAGGAGCCCCAGCTCAAAACCGATTCCTAACGAGCTTTGCTGGAGCTGTTTGCCAGAGATTGTCCTGAAGTGGGAGGTGCGGCAGGAGCTGAGACTTGGCTTTTCGTTGGGGTCACCGAGGACGGGGCTTGGAATCTTGCAACTGAGTGCTGATCTTTAACTCGAATGAAGATTGAATAATTCCGCTCTCACCCAGATCCGGCTCGGATTTGATCTGCTCCATTCTCGCCGTGGACAGCTTAGATGCTCTAAGCATTACCATATCAAAGATATGTATTTTTAAATCCCCACTCGCATCGCACTCCGCTAATGGCAACTGCTGAGTGGATGCAACAAAGCGAGTGCACTCTGCGGGGCCTGTAGTGGGGCAAAAGGGTTCGACTGGTACGGTGGTGTGGTGGGCTAGTGCAGCTGCGGCGGGTTATGTATAAATTCATAAAGAGAGCCACAGCCAAGAGTAGGGGCACAGCAGCGACGAGGACAACTACGACTGCGACTGCGACTGCGGCAACATGTTGTAATTGCGTATTTTATAGATATGCGCGGTCCTTTGGAAGGGAAGAAGGAAAGGAGTGGGCGGCTGTTTTATCTGCCACTCGCTCTGTTTGCTTTTGTTTGGTGCGGAAATGGCAGCCGGTGTGCAGCGAAATATGGCAGTAAGAGCAACAACACCACGCATACGCCATGTTGCGCCATTTGAAGTTGTTGGCGTATACGTAATTTTTATTTTACAAGCAAACAAAAACGAAAAAAAAAAGGAAAAAGGAAAACAGAAAACATTCAGCGCTGAAAAATGCATTCAGAGCCACGGCAATAACAAAAATGGCACACAGAGCACAGAGAAATTTTAATTGCTCAAAAAGCGTCGACAAGGGACGGGCCAAAACACATGTGGATGTGGCTATGGACGGGGATGTGGAGAGCTGGAGGAGATTGGGGTCCGCCAAAACTAAATTTGGGTCCGTTATGGCGAACGTTCCTTTTTATGACTTTTAATTCAATCAAAGTTAAATGAAATTACGAAAGGAAAGCATCAATTATTAGTTTTCTATGCTGTTTGCTTTGACGGATCTTTTAGGGGATTGAGGCTGAGAGTGAAATATCATAGCTAAAATCCAACATTTACTCGAGATATATTTTAACCGAAATGAAAAGCCATCCACTTTAGGTTCGCCATCACACATTTTCATATTTATTTTTTTAGTAGCGGGCTTTTGTGAGCAGGTGAAAGTGAAAGGCTGCTGGAAGGAAATAAAAAGAAAATTCACAAAAAGTCGCACGCAAATGCGCACTTAGCCTACCCTGCCCTTTCCATATCCTGTTTGGGAATGCTTTGTCGTGTATGAGTGTGTGTGCATTATCACCCATGTGTGAAAATCAGGACATGCGCGTGAGAGGAACGGCTTTGTTTGGCTCGTCAGAAACTAATGATGATGATACGGACTCGCCGAGGCAGCTCTCAGTCTTCCTTTATTTTTAATGTGATATTCATCGGCGGGGGTCCTGGGTTGACATTCAGTGTGCAGTGGCATTTGAGTGTGAATGTTTGGATAAGCGTTATGATTTCGTTCTGTATCTGATTCAGCTTAGAACGATTATGTCCAAATTCAAGGACGTTGTGACCAGCGAGAATGAGCCTTAAAAGATATTTTCCTAAGTTAATGTATAGCCCATTCTTTGTGCTTCAAAATCCACGTTCCCGGACAAGGTTCTGCCGAAAGAAAGACTAATTTTTGGAGCCTGGCTTCCCTGCTAGTTTCAAAAGTGATATTGCTGTCATCTGAACAATTCGAAATTCAAGTTATACTTTCCTCCTTGAAAAAAATGCGATTATGTTCCATGTTCGTGCTCCTATACATCGTTCGGAAGCTGGAGATTGCCAGGAGCGGATGCAACATCAAAGGAAAGGAGGGGATGACAGAATCCTCAGGTTGCCTGCTGCAGACCAGCATTTCCTCAAGGCGGCAGAATAAAGAGCTTTTCCGCACCCTGTTTAAAATTTGTCCCAAGTAGTTTTTGTTGAGTTCCGTTGTCATTCAATAAAACATAAGAAGGACTTCGCACTGCATACACGATTTGGGTCCTTAGACCTCTTTAACAATGTAGAGTTAATGCCGTCGCTTAAAGTCCTGGCCAAAAGCACTCCCCGCAAGTTTTGAGTTTTGTGGGACCACCACAGGCCAATATGGCGGCAGTCCATATGAGCACATAAATTACGCCAACGCCAATGACAATGACAATGACGACAATGAAATGTGATGCTCCCCTTGCCCCTCCTCCCGCCACCACTCTCACGCCATGTTCGTGTGCGTGGAAATGGCAGTTAGCTGGGCCTGTGTGAGTGCGGCCGTCCATGCCTGCATTTGGCTGCCATTGTTGGGATGTCTAAAATTTCATGCCACAACAGGAGCAGCGTCAACCAGCTGGCCAACTACAATGGACTCCGAACTGCTGAACTGCCATTCCGAGAGCGCCGCCCATTTTGTTTATCCGAGTAAAATAAGCAGCTTCGAGATAATGCATGCAATCACAGGGCAAACGAGCCAGCAGATAATAACAGGCCAGAGAGGGGCTGCGGATTAGGTGACATTAGGGGGAGGAAGAGGTGGATGAAGAATCAGAGCCTTAGAGCCTTGAGGTTGGTCAACACTGGCCAGCATCAATCGACAATATAACTTTTCGGAACCATTTTATTGACATAGTAAAATACCAAAATATCTCGATAGCAGAAATGGGATTATGGGAAAAAGAAAGGTGACAACGGCAAGGCATTTCACGCGAGGCTCTGCATCATCCGTCGTCTTAATGTTATCCTTCATGTAGGCGATGGCCACTGAGATGGGCGGCGATCCCTTAGAGCTCGGCTTCTTGGCACACGAATCATACAGATGTGTGGTATAGTGAAACGGAAAGTTGATGCAGTGCAGCTGGGCGGCCTCCGTGTCCGGCTCGATGTAGTTTCGGCCGTCGCAGTAGAATTTGCCATCGCTCATGGTCACTGTGTAGCAGCTGAAGAGCGGCGAATCGTAAAAGGAAATTAGCAAGTAGGATGGATCTCTGATGTCGGACCGCCTCCAAATTGCATACGGCGTCCCAATGGCCGGGATGCGGTCCTTGTGCTGAACCCGGATCTCTTCAACGTAGCAGCTGTGGCAGACGTAGTGCAGGATATATCCCTCGATAAAGGAGCAGTTCTCTTCCTTGCAGACAACCGCAGCCGGTTCGATAATAAGCAGGAGCAGAAAAAAGAAGACTGGTAGCGGGTGAGGTGAGTGACGTTTGCGCAGGAGCTTTGGCTGCGACTGGGAGTGCGTATGGTGATGAGTTTTCTGAGGAGGATGGAGCCGCGGACAGTCGATCCACTTGTTATTCAGGCTTCGTGCGCTTGAGAGGCGCACTGGCATTGCTTATAGGCAAATGATTCTTTGATCATTTTCGAAAAATTTGATTGGAATTTCCAGGAGAATAAAAGGTTCCGATCTTTTGTCGCCCGCCTGACATAAGATTCCCCCGTTGCCCCCAGCCGTGCGTTTCACACCTTACCACACTCTCCTCCAAAGGTCCCAGAGCCGCAGGATCCAAGGGCGCGTTCGGGTAGCCTGCCCAGGGATATCCCGATTGGGAACTAGCCTCGCATAATGAATGGCTACATGATCAATCTTCGTTCTGGGCGACAGGCCACAGTGTTTCATCAGCTCCCGTACATAGGAGAAGGAGAACCCGAAGCAGTGGATGCTCTCCGGGCGGATGTGGAGGCCAGGATCAACGGAGTGCGAGCAGTGAAGACAGTTCAGGCTCAGGGTAACGTTCTTGCAGGGGGATATGCGGGACTTGTAGAAGGAGACCAGCATCTCCCGACCTGCCTGCTTCCTCCACCAAAGCCAGTAGGGCACGCCGGCCTTGACCCAAACGTCTCGGTAGTTCAACTTCATATCGGAGCTGTAATCGCCTTTGCAGGCTAGCGTGAATGGAATATCGTCTTCGAGCATGAAGTCGCATTCGTCGAAGGAGCCCTCCGAGGAGGCCAGAAGGTAGGCGAGTGGCACCATCCACAGCTTCCAAGTCATGGCTGAGAGTTGTCTTGGGTGGGCCTAGGATGTGTACAGAATGATAAATCATGGCGTCAAAGACGAAGACGATTTTTGCTTGTAATTTTGATATTTAATTAGTTCGATAATTGAAACACATTTTCTGTTACAAAATTGATTAATGATTTATAAACGATAATCGCACACAAGATCATCAGTTCTGTGGTCGGACTGCAAGTACTTGCACTTTCCTTTTGAATCTCGGGTCTCTTTATGAACAAGGAGCCGTAGTGCAGGATCGGCCTCTGGGCAAAATCATCGCCCTTTCCCACGCTATAGCCCAGGCAGTACCTCCTCAGCTCACTCAGATATCGCATACTGAAGGGGAAGCAGTGCAGGGTGGACGGGGTGAAGAACAGGACTTCGTCGGGCTTGTTAGCCGAGCGCACTAGGAAGAAGTGGCCATTGAATAGGGCACTTCCGTGCAGAAAGATGGTATCGTAGTCCGCCAGCATCGTGGTGTAGAACGATACCAGGAGAATGGGGTCGGTACCCTTCTCCTCCTCGCTCCTCCATAAGCTGAAGGGCGTGGACGTGGGTGCCCTGTTGTCGCGGAACATTAAATACATATCCTGCGGTACATTGCCCTTGCACACCATGGTCAGGGATGTATTGAAGGCGAAGGAGCAGTTCCCAGTGCTGTGCACGGTCAGAACTTCGAGGAAGCGTACCAGTATCAGAAACCCAAAGAAACTGAAGTGTGTGTGCATGACAATAAATTTGAACAGGATTTCTTATAAGTTATCAAAACTAAATATAACAGACGTTATCCGCATGGCTTTAATAATACACCAAAAATGTTTTGAATCTAGTTCAGGTATAATCTATCATTCAAAGATTTTAATATTTTTCATTATTACTTTATGATTTTATGGTGTTTTTACGGAACAGAACCCCAATCACGACAATAGCCAACCAAATACCAACTACCCAAGCATCCTTAAGTTCCCAAAGAGCTCCCAAATCAGCATCCAAATTTAAACGAATCACCAAAAAATCTAAATATTAAACCGTTGTTTATAAATCCTTTTACATAGCCAAAAAAATATTTAAGCTGCTATGGCTCTTATCGGTATGTTTGCCCTTAGTTTAAATCTAATGGTTTGCTTTATAAAAAAATTAAGTAAATTCTTTAAATTGTATGTTCTATTGTTTGTAAGAAATATTAAAACATGAGCTATTTGAATTCTAAATGACCATTATTGACCATTTTTGAGGAAGCTTTCAGCAAATGATTAGTTTATTAAAAGAGTTTATACGAGGTGTGTTCAAAAAGTAAGGTGACTTTGTATTTTCAAGAAAAACTATTAATTTATTTATCAATATTTATGTTGTCCCCTTCAAAGTAATCCCCCTCAGATACAATACACTTATGCCAACGGTTTTTCCAATCCTCAAAGCACTTCCCATAAGCACTTTTCGGTACAGCCTTGAGCTCTTGCAGCGATGCAGTCTTTATCTCTTCAATCGTTGCAAATCTCCGTCCTTTCATAGGTCTCTTCAGTTTTGGGAACAAGAAAAAGTCACATGGGGCCAAATCCGGTGAATATGGTGGCTGAGGCATTATTGTGGTGTTGTTTTTGGCCAAAAAATCTCTCACAAGCAAAGATGAGTGAGCAGGGGCATTATCGTGATGCAAAAGCCATGAATTGTTTTTCCACAATTCTGGACGTTTCTTTCGTATTGCTTCTCGCAAACGGCGCATAACTTCCAGATAATACTGTTTATTGACCGTACGACCATATGGTAAGAACTCCTGATGCACCACGCCATGGTAATCGAAGAAAACAGTGATCAAAACTTTGACATTTGATCGAACTTGGCGTGCTTTTTTCGGTCTTGGCTCGCCTGGGCTCTTCCATTGGGACGATTGGGCTTTGGTTTCGATATCATAACCATATACCCATGATTCGTCACCAGTTATGACCCTTTTGAGTAAATCTGGGTCGTCGTTGACGTCATTCAACAGCTCTTGAGCGATGCTCATGCGACGGTTCTTTTGGTCAAAATTCAGCAATTTCGGAACAAACTTCGCTGACACACGACTCATACCCAAAACGTTTGAAAAAATTTCATGGCACGAGCCAAGCGATATACCGACATCTTCAGCAACTTCTCTGATAGTGATTCGACGATTTTCCAAAACAATTTTCGTCACTGCTTGAACGTTTTCATCAGTTGTTGACGTGCTTGGGCGTCCAGAGCGAGGCTGGTCATTGGCATCTTCCCGGCCATCTTGGAAGAGTTTGTACCACTTGTACACATTTTTTTTACTCAGAACAGTTTCACCGTATGCCACTGTCAACATTTCAAGTGTTTCAGAGCACTTAATTTTATTTTTTACACAAAATTTGATGCAAATCCTTTGATCCATATTTTTCGATAGCAAAAAATCGCCGAGCTCGCAAAATAACTTGTAACTTTACGCCTCTCACAACCAAACAAAAGAGGATGTTCCATTGAAACTTGGTACAGATGTTAGGGAAGAGTGTACCAATATAACAAAACAAAAAAATCGATAATCGAAAATATGTTGCCCGCGAAATTTGAAAAGTCACCTGAACACACCTCGTATACAACTTTAAGTAAAAGAGACATTTACATTTTGTACAATGAACATGTTATTTTGTGATGTGATGTATTTTTTAAACAGTGGAAGAAAGGTAATCGAGAGATTGTAACGAGATTTGGATCTATCATGTCAAAACTTAGACGATTGCAGAAGTACAACATTTCCGAAACACATGATTAAATGGGTTCAATTTTTACAAAAGAGGAAACAACTTTTCCTTCTAATTAAAATTCATACGGTTGGACAAATCAATATTCATCAAATAACCCCAATAAGAGAACAAGTTTTTCCGACCGGGTCACTTCTATTCCGATTCATACCCGCTTGTCATGTCAAGGGTCCTGGGCCATGACCAACTTTTGCAGAAAGTTCCGGACAACTTTTGCTAGCAAAAGATGGTAAACTTGTTTCAATTTAATCAAAGTAATTAAACATTCTCGCAGGGCTTCCAATACATTTAATTTTCCGAGCACATACTAGTCGTACATTTCTCAGAGAGTGAGGAAAAAGTAAACCTCTTCCCCATAAAGATTAAGAAGGGAATTCTTCTTTTTAAGTAACTATAAACACAATTTTACTTTAGGATATGCCAGTTTTACAGAAGAAGAGATTTTAAGACATTTCTGATTTTAATTTCTTACAAGGGAAACCAGCACTCCTAACTTAGTCCACCATTGCTTGTTTTTACAGGACTGAAAGAGTGTCAAGCCCCAAACCTCTTCTGCATTTACACATCATTGTCCTAGTCCTGCCATTCAATCTGGGCCTCGATTTCACTGCAGCAACTACGTGCCAGGCTAAGTGCTCGATCGGAGGAGGCCAGCGAAAGTAAAAAGAAAATTCGACAAATTGATTTACATGTCTGTCTCTGTTCTTGCATCTTCTGGAAGGGCTGCAGCAGTGAAATGAGGACGACAGGGCAGGCTGGGAGGCAGGCTGGAACGAATTTACTTTCAATTTCGCTTGAACGACAATTTCTCTGATTTAACTCCATTTCATGAGAGTTCCCGGGCTGGGACTGGCCCATCCCGGGCCTTGGTCTTTCTTTGGCTGCCTTTATTGAATTACAATAATAAATGGGGGTATGTATTGGCCCACCGAAGCCGGATGCGTCTTGAGAAGCGGAGTGACAGCTCAATGTGTAGCGCAGGTGTATTGTCTGGCCGATATAAAGGCCCCAAGAAAAGAACCGAATTAAGTCGGGAAGATGCCAAAACTGCCAGTGAATGACATTCCCGAGCAGAACCCTTCTGGCACATATTCAAAGCTGGAATTACAATTCCATCTTGCCATCTCGCACGACTTTGCTGCCGGCAACGCGCACTGATGTCCTAGCCACGTCCCCAGCCCAACCCCCCGCCACATCCTTCGAGCGGCCTTTATACCGGCTTCATTGTAATTTTAATACATGTCACATGATTTACAGCTGACGATGCCTTCGGCACCTCCCGTCCGCCCGTTCCTCTGTTCTTCCCAGGTGGTGACAGCTTTGGCTTTGCCTGGCTTCGGCCCTCCTGCCGCTGACACATTACCAATGCATAAAAAGATCCACAATCGCTCTTTGAAAGTGACTGCTGCTGGGCTGATGGGCCATTGTCAAGCCTCCGTTGCAAATGGGTCGGAGAACGCAGTAAGCCATTGATTGGGACATCAATTAGGCATGGATCTTAGAAGTAATGGAATTGATAGTGGATCATACCGTTCAATAATGCATGGGAAACAAATATGGGAAGATGACGCATTCAGCAGAAGGCCTGCAGATGACAAACTCCGCTAAAAACCACGCTGCGAGGACAACAAGTGGGGCAGAAAATAATTCCATTAGTAAAATAAATAAACAAAGGCCAAATGAATGATTGAGCAGGTATAGGCGCTGCCCTTCGACCTGTCCCGCCCAGAGTCGAGCGGGCACATCTTAAACCTCAAGGCGTCGCGTGCATAAGCCAAATGCAAACACCCAACCCACAGACACACAGACAGTGTCCCCCATCTTCGCTCATTTCGCTGAGGTCTCCAAGGATGTCACTCGACTGCGGTCGGCTGAATACATATTACATGAGCCGCCCAAGTGGAGCGCTTACATATTGACCCATTTCGATGCCGCCAGACCAGACAGCCGCCCACACCCACATCCAGTCACTCACGCAGTGGAGTCCCTGCTTACCTGAGCTAAGGAGACTCCGAGTAGTTTTGGTTAATAAAGTCAAATGCCACCAAAATCAAAAGGAAAACGCCACTTACTACTAATGGCATCACGGCCTCGGTGGCGAGATGCCATGAGGACCTCATCCTGACACAACTATCCGCGCCACCACCGACAACCGCAACACCAACAACAGCAACAATTGCCCTTGGATATCCGCCAGGAACTTGGCTTCCCTGCCAAGTTGGGGGAAAATTGGGGATTTTTAATTGTATTAACATCGCTCAGCAGCACAGTGAAGCAAAGCATTACTCTTTCAAAGCTGTTATAAGATAATGTTAAAGGAAGATTTAGTTTAAGAGTATACATACAAAAAACCTACCTTAGCACAAACCTACCTTGTCTTCAATATTTTTTCCTTCTAAAATAACATCCAAAATATTTTAATGATATACCGAAAGTGTACGACTGCACGACTTCGTAAGCTCTTTATATATCTTCTAATTCTAGTATTTAATTGGTTTAGTTAACTTTTAAACTCTATTTAAGTTCCAATGACCATCGACCCACTGTTTGCCAGCGATCTCCGAGCATCCCTGGACATCGCGATTGGCTCAGCTTTGTGTGGCACTTAAGTGCGGGCCGAAGCCTCCAGATATTTGATATTGGGTTATTTGATTTGGCTCGAAGCTTGATTGCTGCTTTTAGTCGGAGTAGGATGTCCTTTGCAGGAGCTCCTTCGTACGTAAATAGTTTGGGGAAGCGGGCCTCGGTGCATTAGTAATGAAAGCATTAGGTTGAAATTAACGTGCTTAGCCGAAGTAGGTTTCGTATTTGCATAAATCGTTTTTAAGAGACTAGAGATCCAGGAGAGATCCTGCCAGCTCAACTCGCTTGACTTTCTCAACAAAAAATGTGAAACTTAAAGTAAAGTTGGTGAAGAGTGTTGCATTAATGGGTTATGGAGCACATCAGACAGAGGAAATTGGTTGGGAAAAAGGAAAGGTAACAGGACTCATTCGACAAATCT